TTAAATACCGTTTAATGAATCATTTCAATGCATATGCACATGCTTATCGTCTTCTCTTACATTAATGCTTTATTGAATTAGTTTCGCTCTTATAAAAAAAAAAACACTCGAAATTATATTATGTGTGTCTTAAAAACACTTGTTAGCCAAATATTTTATTAATGGTTTGGCTAATGGATTGGGCATGGTGGTATCAGATGTTTTTTTTTTTTCCCCCCGAAAGAGTACAGTTAATTTAGAAAAGGTGTTTAAATGAAAGAGGGCTCCGTTTAAATTGAACATTTTTTCAAAAACAAGTTTTTCAAATATAGTGGTACAGTAATACACAATAACTTAAAAAATATCTCATCCATACAATATATCAAATATTTCAAAAAATTTTATAGTAAAAAATTTTCATATACACTACTACAGTAAAATTTTTCAAAAATACCCCAAAAATTAGCTAATCTAAACGGATGATTACGATTATGTGTATTCAAATAAGAATTTAGGCATATAACGAATGTTTATTAGAAACTCCTAAAAAAATATTTTTATCAAATGTGGCTTATTATGTTAGGCAAATGCATATTTGGCTATTCATCTTTAGGTAGTTTAGGTTATATTTAATAATTCAATTTATTACTTAATTTTAATGGATTCAGATCTATTAACCGTCTACGAACATCGTAACATTTTTTGAATGTTTTGTAACTTTGTGTACACTTCTTGTATATTCTTATAATAGTGGTATAATATTTTGTTACTGCTTATGTGGGTTACATATGTAATAATTGTGTCTCTGTTGTTAAGTCTTACAAGTAGTTCATATAGAGTTAAACCTTATTCAAAAAATATTTTTTCATTCAGAACAGTTGTTGCTAACAACTGTTGGTGCAATCGGTCCCTTATGCAGATATCTATGATAACAAAAAATTAAATATCTGAATTAATTAAGTGTCACTCAAGTTTTTAGACAAAATTTATTTCAAAAAATAAATGATAAACTATTCACTTATTATATAATGCGATATATACTCAAATATATCAAATTTAATACTTAATAATTTAATGAATTCAAATTTTAAATTTTAGAACAATTTTATCCAACGTATTGGTAATAAGGCAAAAGTAAGTGAAGTCTAAATTCTGTAGAAGAGAACATGATTAACACGAATTAAACGGCTGCAAAACTGCAAAGTATCCATGGCTGACAATTTAGTTAGTTTAGTGGATGGAAATTGATGATTGAATTTTTTAAGAAAAATCATTTTCGTCATAAAATGTATTAGATTGGGCGTGTAAATTCTTATCCCGTCACATTATTTTTAGTAATTGCACATCATTGATCAAACTATACACGTTCACACCCATATTTTCAAATCTATTTTAAATTAAATTAGGTAGAGTTCAGCTTTAGGGTCTGTTTGTTTGAGTGGAAAAGATTTTTCGGAAAATATTTTCCTTATTTTCTGTTTTTTGGTTATCATTTAATTTAAAAAAATAACTTCTGACAGAAAATAAGTTACGCCCACGGCAGGAAAATAACTTCCGTGCCTATCATTGTGAAGTTATTTTCCTTTCGTAAAAGCAGTCTTCTTTTCACAACCTCCAGATTGTCGATCTCCAGCGACATCTCATCAACAAACAAATCCAAGGGAAAATAACTTTCATTCCCGGTATCTCTCTTTTCGGCATCTCATCAGGTGAGCTACTCCGGCATCTCTCTCTCTCTCTCTCATTTTTTTGCTTTAAAAGCGGCCAATATCAACGGCTCAAGTCATGTGTGGATGCTTTTGTGTGAATGTAAGTTTTCTCTAGTCATCAGAACTAGACTTAGCCATTGCGGCCGGTAACCATCTCACTCTCTCTCTCTTCAGTCTGTTTTTTGTTTGTGAGCTGTGCTCGCCATTGTGGATGCGTTTACTTATACAACCTCAGAAGCTTGTCTGACGGCCTAAGCACAATCTCATTCCCGTTCCTACAATAGCATTTCCAACAAGGGTGAAGACTCCTTAAGTATTTCCAGAAGTATGATGGTCTCTTATTAGTTTTTTTTTCCTCCCTTTTCCCTTGAAAAATTGTCTAGAATTATTGGTGTAAATTCTTGAAGTTGGATTTGAATGAATTTTTATGGGTTGCTTTTGTTTTAGTTTGTTCTTACCTGATTAGGATTAAATCTGATTTAATTGATGCTAATTAATTTGGCTGCTGAGTTTTGGGGATTTTATGATTCTTGGAATCAGAATCCGGGTAGTGTAGGGTAGGGTAGCGTTTTTCTTACAATCTGGTGAGACCATTTGTAAATAATTGACAAAATCTGATTAGGGAGGAAATATGATTATCTCTAGTGCTTAATATACTGAAACCTTTCCTCAAACGAAATGAAACACAAGCAGGGCAGCTTCCCAAGTCATGAGATTCCAAGACACTTTTGTCTGCTGTATTTCTAATTTACCAACTACAGTCTCCAGTCCATCCTTCCACCTTTAACCCCAACCACAATCCACCAACCAACTTTTCTATCCCTATGTTACCTGTTTTATTTTTATGTATGTATATTGCTAGCAGTTCATAGGCATGATCCCATAAATCATATTTTGAAAGAAAATGGATTTTCCTATTTGAACCTGGCATTAATGCACTAGGAATTTTAGTACTCATTCTGTTTATATTTCCACTGGAGGAATTTTAGTTCTCATTCTATGTATGGTGGTGCTGTGTCTAAAGTAGGAGGAGGGTGCATGGTGGTGCTGCGTTTGAGTGCGATTAAATTTAAAGTAGGGGAAAGTGAGTTTGAGTTTACTCTCTTGAGACCCATTGCCTTCCAGCACCTGGATCTCCTACACCACATCTGGGAGTTGTTCCCGAACCACATCCGCTAGTTCCAGCGTCCCATAAACTTTCCATGCTTCACTAGTCGGCACCTTAACTTCAATCTCATCCGATAATGTTCCAAACATTTTATTGCTCTGCCACTGATTTTACCTTAGTGCTTTAGCACTCCCTTTGAAAGCTGCTGCTATTACACTGCAACCAACATTTGTCACACTATCTATAGCAGCTTGTTCTGAAGATTACTAAATAATTTTGGTCCTTCTAGCCTTTTTTGTCTTGACTACTCTTTCTTCTCCCAATCATTTTTCCATTGTTTTCCTCTCTAACACACCTTCCCTGCTTGTTTTTTTTTGTTTACTCTTTCATTCTTCTAGTTTGTTTCCTCTTATTTTTCTTGGGCCCTTATTTTTTTAGGCCCGTCCACATTTAAGGAGAACATTAACTGCTATGGGTATAACCTGCATCACTCTGTAATTGAGACCCCTGCATCACTCAGGCTTTTTCTGGTACATTACTAATAGTCTACTACTACGTGAATTAAATGTTTATTACCCAAGCAAATAATCTTATTGGCGTCATGGTTTTGGGCGGCAGTTGGATTTCTGTTCAAGTAATTGTACTCCTTCTTACACATTCGCTAAGCTTGATAGCAACCACCTACATGAAGAGATTATGAAGATAGAAGGCTATAACAAAGAATTTTTGGATTTGGTATTCGATCATTTTGTGTAAAATGAGAAGCTAGGAAAAACATTTATGGCGAAGAGTCAAAAACTTCGTTTGGATTTCTCTTGAGAGGTTCAAGAAAGATTGGGCGCATCAAATAAAGTACGTGAACTGAATTATGCAATTGCCTTGTCAGAATAATTGTGCTTCATGAATGGACTTGATGCTTCTCTCACGTATTAAGATATTCCAACTGTTAAACATAGCTGGTCGTTGTTTCAGGCCAACATAAAACTTCTCGATCTATCAATAGGGAACAAGTATGTCAGGAGCTTATATATCAATCCGTGAATGGTGTTTGAAATTTTGATGCTTTGATCCGTTTGGATAACCACATGCTATGTATGTGTATATGATAAATGCTCTCTAAGAATGCCTTCGAAGTGTACTATGTCATACTAACATGCTCAGGACGGTGCAGAATACCTAGACTACTTACTGCATGAAAAGTCACCTACCCGTCTGTGTTTTATATTTTGCAGAGGGTGATGCTGTATTTATGAAGATGACTATCATCGTGTTTTGCGTTGTTAGAGTCAGGAAAGAGATTGCATGTGTGTGAACTTTAGTTTGAGTAATTAGTTGGGTAGTTTAGTCCCTTTCTCTTGTAATCAGATATGCAAGGCTGATGTTTCATTGTCTAATTATCAAATTTGGTTGGATTCTTGGAATTGTATTATGATTGTGAGACTTATTATGGATGCTCGAATTGCTAATTATCTTATGATGCAGGTTATATAATACAGCTAGTTTTCATTTGATTTTTAACTCTTCTTTCCTAGCCAATTCATTAGTATCATTAATAATTTCATTTAAGAATTCATGGTGTAAAATGAATAAATATTTTATAGAAATGATAATATGATTATAATGGATAGAAACTAAAATTAACTATATTGAAATGAATGTTTTGAGAGCAGAAAAATATTTGCAACATATCAATAAACATATCAGGAAATATTTTCATTGACAAACCAAACATCGGAAAATTATGAAAAAAGGAATTTGGAAAATATTTTCACTTAATAACCAAACATTGAAAAATTATGGGGAAGGAAGTGATTTTTCAGGAAAATAACTTCGATAGAAAATATTTTTAGTCCAACCAAACGGACCCTTAAGGTCAATTGTTTTACTTGAAATGATCCTCAAGTACAGTTCATTTGGTCACCATCATCATTGCGTGCTTCAATCGCAATCTTATACCGAAAAAAAAAAGAAACCAAAGAGGACCCATTTTGTTACAAAAATTTGCGGCCACGAATATGGAAAAGCTTTAAAAAAATACATTTTTATAAAAACTCTAAAAAATATACTTTTCTAATTACATTAAATCGATGCACTATATTTTTAAAAATTAAAATATTATATTTTTATTTCATAAATATCCAATTATTATAATACAGTATCTCAAAAAAAAAAAAAAGCAATATATCTCAGTTTAATAAACGATTTGAACACTTCCTCGGCCACCTCGAATCCGGCCATATTGATATAATTAAACTCGCATACGTCTCTCCAAGCTCAAAAGAGATCACCATGACAGGATGACACTGCCACGTCACTTCCTACTCCTCCATTCGAGACTCGTCTCGCCTACAAAAACATAATTCATAGCTGCTACTGATCACTACGTATCAGAGGCTAGCAAGAATTTGTCATGGAGAGCAAGAAGGCTACCACCAACGCCGGCGCCGCGGCCGATTTTGAGAATTTGGAGTACGTTTCGGGCTTCGGCAATCACGTGTCGTCGGAGGCCATCGCCGGAGCTTTACCACAAGGGCAGAACAGTCCTCTCATCTGTCCTTATGGTCTATACGCTGAGCAGATCTCTGGCACCTCCTTTACTGCTCCCCGCAAGCTCAATCTCCGCAGGTTTTATTTGATTCTTTACCGCAAAAGTTGTCTTGCCTATTTTTTTCTTTTTCTTTTCTGATGTTCATTTCTGTTGTGTCAAAATTTGAACTGAATTTGAGTCATATTTCTGAATTTTCTTTTGGAGAAGCTTTCGAGTTTGAATAATTTTTTGGAGGCAGGATATAAAGAAGGCATCCGTTTTCCTTTCCATTTGTGTCTCCTTCACTCTAAATTCATGATTTTTTTTTCTTTTTCTGCGTGGCAATATTTGGATGATTCGGTCTATTTTTTTTAGTCGATATATATTTTCTTATCGTCTTATTAATGTTTTATGCGTGATAGTGAAGTTTGGTGTTATATACATACGGTCGACCAGTGGCATGCAATCCAAACTCCAAAACTCTGGCTTTACATCTTTAAGAGTAGGGATAGACATACCTAAATTTTTATTTATTTGAAATTCCGATTTTGAGAAGTTATCACATTCTCTTAAAGAGTATTAACATTTGGAGCATCCCTACTCTTATTCTGAATTTTACTGTTGCCGAAAATTTTTTGCATATGACGTTTGAAACATGTAAGATTAGTATTCTAAGTCATATGAATCTGATCGTTGTGATGCTTCATTTGCAACAGTTGGCTATATCGGATTAAGCCATCTGTGACACACGAGCCATTTAAACCTAAAGTTCCGACCCATGGAAAGTTTGTAAGTGAATTTAACCAGTCAAATAGCTCGGCTACACCAACTCAACTACGGTGGAGACCAGTGGAGATTCCTGAAGCACCAACAGATTTCATTGATGGCCTGTTCACCGTATGTGGGGCTGGCAGTTCATATCTCCGACATGGTTATGCTATTCACATGTAATTGGTTCTCCTAACCTGATATGTTCTGTTAATTGGTCTAATTGGGCTCCAATAATCAGTATATCTCTTTGGACTGGTGTGGTACATAAAAGTGGAACTATTGAATCCTGTCAAATTACTTATTTTAGGTAGATAATGTTATGTACAATTTGCTCTTCAATAGTTTCTTCGGTATTCCTGTATTATAGGTATACTGCTAATAAATCTATGGAGAATTGTGCATTCTGCAGTGCTGACGGAGACTTCCTTATTGTTCCTCAGAAAGGAAGTAAGTGATAATTTAACTATCTCCCATGTATATTTTGATGTTCAATTGGTGTGCTATCTTTAAAGAAATTGCTTATATAATTGTCGGTGATTTGTGATCATCTTTCATTTGTAATACATGAGTATTAGTTTAACATGAATGCCTATTGAAGGGTACTACAGAATGTGTTCTCTGACATTAACTTGGTCATAGACCTTTCTATTCACTAGAATCACAAGTAAGAGTAATTTATATTTCTCTACCGATTGTCTGACAGATGATGATGTTTCTAAGTGCTTCATGGCCTTCTACATTTTGTATCAGTGAAGATCTTCTTTTATCATAGGAACATCTGTTTTTACCTTATAATATTCTGGTTAGATATAATTGCTGCTTGATGGATTGATTCTTAACATTTTTTTCATTCATACTGCAGGTTTTTATAAAAATAAGTTTTCACGCATACTAAAGGTTGGGATAACTTCCTGAAAGCAATGTATAGCTAAAGAAAGTTGTCTTCCCTGTTAAAAAGTTACAAGAAAATAAGCTGAATTAAGCCTTCAAATTTTTCCTGCAATCTACGGATAGTTCTTCTGCAACAAGCATGAGACCTCACAATAAATGTAGTGTTTTGCAAACAAGAACCATGGGGCCTCTCTTGATGCATGAAAAATTCTATTACATCTCTACTTCCTGATAAATATGCATAGATGCCAAAGTAGTTTCATTGCCTAGGCAGTTACCCAACACACTCCAAGTTAACCGTTATTTGTGCGTAGTAATCATCTGGGAAGGTGGTCCAAATGGACAGATTGTAATGGTCTCAGCAGCTTTATCAAGTTGTATAGTTGAATCATGGAACCTTAATCATCCCCATCAATTCTGCCTCTTATATGCCTTTTAGTTGGATTATAATCATTTTCACTTTCATATTTCCAGCTGATATGCGTTTTTGTTGTAGATGCTGTTCATTCATTTATATTGTGCATGTTGTCTATGTAGAGTTATGGATCACGACTGAATGTGGGAGATTGCAAGTGGTTCCTGGTGAGATAGTCGTTATACCTCAAGGGTTTCGCTTCGTTGTTGACCTGCCAGATGGGTCTGCACGTGGTTATGTTGCTGAGATTTTTGGAACTCATTTTCAGCTTCCTGATCTTGGGCCAATAGGTGCAGCAAAAATTTTGAAAGTGATTATTTCTTGTGCAATCATTGGTATTGATTGATTACGGTCTATTGTTATTATGTTTAGGTGCCAATGGTCTTGCTGCTCCAAGGGATTTTCTTGCTCCAGTGGCCTGGTTTGAACAGAGCACCTGTCCAGGTTATACCATTGTACAGAAGTTTGGTGGTGAACTTTTCACTGCAAAGCAGGATTTCTCTCCATTCAATGTGGTTGCTTGGCATGGCAATTATGTTCCTTATAAGGTAGGTAAGCAATAGGCTGGATATTAATCACCTTCGATAAGAAAGAAATTTGTCATCCATCTCTTTCCATCTAAGTTTGTGGGTAACATGTTAAGTACCATCTAATGCCTCACCTGGCTAAAAAAAGCAAATTCTTGCTGCTTGCAGTATGATCTAAGCAAGTTCTGCCCTTACAATACTGTTTTAATTGATCATAGTGATCCATCAATAAACACTGGTAAGTGATTACTTTGCTTGTATTTCCATAGCTGTCTTTTGTTACCAGAATGGTGCAGTTTTCCTTATTATTCATATGCACTGGGGTAAACATTGAAATTCTTTCTTGTACGTGCAAATGCAGTTCTAACAGCTCCGACTGATAAACCTGGTGTAGCATTACTTGATTTTGTCATCTTCCCTCCCCGATGGGTCGTTGCTGAACATACTTTCCGCCCTCCCTATTACCATCGTAATTGTATGAGTGAATTTATGGGTCTAATTTATGGAGGATACGAGGTAAGGCTCTGTTCTGCACATTTATACTTATTGTGTAATTGCTTTTAAAAGAATGATACGGTAAGAATGTTGAAATTACTACCTTTCTTTATAATGAGGAAACGAGGATCTCATTTACACATTAATCAATTAGGAAGTGACCATTTCTGACTATCTAAATACCAACATGTCAGAGAGTCATTAGGTCCGGGAAATCTAGTCGGTGGGAATGTTTAACTTTACAGGGTTCTACTATTGACTTCTAGGCGGCACCTGGAATCTACTAAAAGCTGAATATTAAAGAGCCCAAATGCTAGATTTTACCGTGGGGAAATTGAGTTTTAAGTGTGCTGTTTCAGGCAAAAGCTGATGGTTTTCTCCCAGGGGGTGCTAGTCTTCACAGCTGCATGACACCTCATGGTCCTGATACCAAATCGTATGAGGTAACGCACTTTTGATTCTCAAAGAAATCTATGGCTCTGTTTCTACCAACATCTTCCCTTTCTTACTTTTTTTCCCATGTGGCTGGCAGGCTACAATTGCTCTTGGCAGTCAAGCTGGACCTCAGAAAATAGCTGACACGATGGCTTTCATGTTTGAATCATGTTTAATCCCGCGAGTGTGTCAATGGGCACTTGAATCTCCCAACATGGATCATGACTATTATCAATGCTGGATTGGTTTGAAATCCCATTTTACATGTGAAGCTACAACGGTGGAGAATACAGACTTGCAGAATGGGCATAATTAGGAGAAGTATGGAAGGCTTTTACCCTTTGATGGATTTCTTAAGAGCAGAAGCAGAAAATGCCATCCCGATAGAACATCGCCTATAAAGGATAATATCTGAACCGTCTCCTTCTTGTGGTATAATATATTAAATAAGCTGTTGTACATATACTTGATGCTTTTAGATGGAAAGGTATTTCGCATATATGTATGTTTAGCTAGTCTACCGAAAGTCGGAGCTAATAGAAGTATTAAACGTGACGTATTGATTGTTTAAATTCGCGGTTCTATCAGTGGTTTCTTTGTTTAGATTCGCGGAAATCTATCGGTGGTTTCTTTAATGCTTATATGAATCTTTTTCTGCAAGCAAAGAGGACAAAGCATGCTGCCTGTAAGGGAAAAAGACTTACCAAAGGTACTAGATACAATATATTAATGGGTTTGTTTGGATATACGTAATATTCTAAATAATATTTCGCTTGTATCATAAACACATTTTTCAATTCAGCTTTTTATATTTTCAATTAATTTTTTATCTCACATACATCACATCATAAAAAGTGCTACAATAATTATTTTAAATAGTACTCTATCTAAACAAAGATGTACCTTTTTTTAGAATTTTACCAAAATAAGATTACGTTTTCCAAAAAAAAAAAACACTTGGAAGCGGCTATGCATTAACATTAAATGCTTAAAAATCCTACCAGTGTTTGATACACATCTGCACAAGGTCATAAAAAATCCAAGAGCCTGTCCATAAGGTCATAAAAAATTCAACACCTTGTCTAACGAGTGCCTATTGAATAGTTGTTAAAATATATTTTTGAAAATATAAAATGAATTAGAAAAAGTAAATAAATATAAGGAAAGAAAGATAAGATTAAATAGAGAAAGTATATAAATACAAAGGAGTGTAATTAATTTTAGATGTATTTGGACGCCCGTTAACAAAACTAAAAATCCACTACCATTTTAATCGTTTAAATGCATGGAGCCCAGGTGGCCCTGTGAAGTCTAGACATTCACATTCAATTAAGGAATTATTACAGTTAGTTAGATAGTTAGTTAGTTACCTAAAATGATGAGAAACTATTAATTGTACCTCTTCTTCTATCTCAGACTAAGCAATGAATGATGGTGAATTCAATGAAAACCTAGGCTTTGGATAAGCAATTTCATCCAAAATTTTGGCAAGGGTAATTAAAAAAATAGAAAAAAGATTTGCGAAAAAATGTATTAGTACTATTGATTATGAAATAGACTACAACAAATTATAGGGGTGGTCTACGTGACAGACAGAAAAGACTAATAAAAGGAAAAAAAGGAAAAGGAAAAAAATTAAAGGTGAAAGGGAAAACAAAATGGAATAGCTCACATTGCTGCCGGCATTGCAATTCACAACTAGGCCCCTTTACTTTGTCTCAATTGTCGACATGCCTCAAAAGCTTCCTTGTAAGTTGTAACCCTTCCCCTCCTATCCCAGCCTTCAAAAATCCCCTCTTCGCTCTCCATCCCATCCAAACCCCCTTCACAAAACCCTACGCTACAGACCAGGAAAAAAGGAAAAAAAAACTTGAATTTCATTTTCTGGTTGTAATAATCATCAATGGCCAAGGCTACTGATGATTCCATCGATATAGGGAAGCTCTACGGGTACGACCATCGGCTCAGCGAGGCGAAAGACAAGTCTCAAGTTCGTTCCCAACTTCAGCGCTTTCAATTTCATCCTGTTTTGTTTCACTAGGTTTTCTTTTTTTCGTTTGTGCGGAAAAAAATTTGATTTTGGTTTTTTTTTTTTGGGAAAAACAGCATAAGGAGGACTATGAGTGCATTCTCGCGGCAGCGAACGGCTTAGTGAAGGCGAGGCAATTGGCGGCGATGCTAATACCGAAGTTCTTCAAGTATTTTCCTCAGATTTCCGAGCAAGCACTCGATCAGTATTTGTATCTCTGCGAAGATGATGAGCTAGGGGTTAGTTGTTTAACTTTTAGCTGTTGGTGGAAAATTTGGGTGATTTTCGTTGTATTTTGCCACCTGAGGAGATTTCTTAGCCACTCGAATTTACACGGATTAAATTCCTTGAAAATTTGAATTTAAGTTCAAAAGCTTAGAAGAGCTGAGGTGCTAAGGGAACTAATTAAAACGTCAAATGAAATTTTTTTTAAGGAAAGTTGCACGGATTACTCGTGTTTACCTATAGGAGCTAAAGATAGATATGGACGAGAGTGCAAATGTAAATAAAATACTTTTATTTTCCTGTTTGCAATTTTTTTTTTGTGGGGTTGGGGGGGGGGGGTCGTATCTCTTTGGCTAGACGTTTTAGTCAGCTCTTCTTGTCTTTGGGCGGAAACAGCTAATGGACTTTGCATTGAATACTACTACCAATTAAAGAGAGTTCTGAGTTGTATGTAGAACAAGAAGCCGGGAAAGGAAAGCAATATAGAGGTAGTAGTTCTCTAAATTTGATTTCCGTGGAAAGGTGGAGGGAGAAGGCAAAGATATCATTTCTTGCCTTTTTTTGGGGGAAAAAAGCATTACTGAGAAAATAGCAGAAATTCTACAATTTTGCCGCTAGAATGAGATAATGGGTATATCATGTTACAAATTCATCTGGTGCAGTTCAGTTCAAGATTACATGCTGACTGGCATTTATTTTGGTGAACTTTGGCATTTCACTAGTAAAGTGTAAAATCTCATGCAGGAGTTTATGTAGAATAATGTTGTGCTACTGATTTTCCTTGTATGACATGTATTACTTCTTCGAGAAGATTATCTTAAAGATTACGTGACTATGAACATTGTGTTTATGACTTTTTTGTTTCATAGGTGCGAGTTCAAGCAATCCGTGGGCTACCTCTTTTTTGCAAAGATACACCTGAACATCTGTCTAAAATTGTTGACATTCTTGCTCAGCTTCTAGTGACCGGTAAGTGTCTTTGCAAAGCTCTTTATGTTAATGGATGTTCTGGTTACTCATAAAAGTATCTTAAATATGTTCCGTAGGAGAAATTGTGGAGCGTGATGCAGTAAACAAAGCTCTGATGTCTTTGTTGCGGCAGGATACAAGAAGTAAGAATTCAGCTGTGAAGTTTATTTTTATAATTTTCTTGTTTGTTATCATGCTTCTTGTTTCAAGGCATTATAGTTACTGTGTACTACTCACTGGAATTTATTATTGCTGTTAGTATTTTACTTGTTCCTTACTTGTTAAAAGAAAGACATTTCCAAGTGCACAACCGTTAGAATTTAAAGGATAATACTGATAGTTCATTCAGTTCTTCTGGTTCTCTTATGGCGCACGTGCTCTTTACTTTGTTTTGATACTGTACCAGGTCTCATGCTAAGGTTCTCACATCAAACTGCGGCTGTAAATTCAGTTGGGGGAATGCTTGCTGTCCTTTATATTCTTTTCCTTTCTTATGTAGTTTCAATCTTTAAGTTATGTCAAGCTGCCTGTCGACGTGGAAAATTCCCATGTTAAATTACATGATTGACTTCTTCATGACATACATTGTCCTTGAGTTGTTTTTTATAGCTTAGATCATTTACCATGTCTTTCTGTTTTATATAATGTTGGTCAAGCTTTTCACACATTATTATTTTTTCCTTTAAGTCTAGGCAGTTGACTCTGTACTCCCAAAAAACAGTAGTGTGGGGTCGTGGGTGAAGTTAGACTTAACCATTTCTATTTTGCAAGAAGCTTCTCAACATTTTGAGTTTCAGTTGAGCTGGCCTTTCTTTATTGGAAATCAGTCAATATGGATGAACATTATTTGTTACCCTTTATGTTGGATAATTGTAAGCTGAGCTACTTGTTTAATGCTTTGATTCGGAGTTTGCAATATGACTTCTCATAATAATGCTATTGCTACTGGAGACTCCAACTTGTACGAAGCTCTTTGTTTCATGGAGTTTGGGCCAAGTTTGTATAAAGTTCTTGGACTGCAAAGGCATCTAAAATTTTGAAGCTTGCATTTGTGTTTCCTAAAATTGTTTTCACAGCCTTCATACCATCTGCACGTTTTTGCATTCATGAAGATCTTTACTGTACTCAACCTAGTGGCGAGATGAGATAGTGAAATGTTGAAGTTTAGTGCTTGTTTTCAGTCAGACAAAATTGGGGACTTTATATCTTACTCTTTTGTGCCTTTTATAGCCCTCATTGTTGGCACTGGAATGAATTTTAGTTCTGCTTTGATGGCTAATTTATATCTAAGCAAATGCTTTGCTGCAGCATCCTTGACAGCTTTGTTTAAGCATGTTGGAAGCACTGAAGAACGGGGTGCTGAGGAGCCTAGCACATGGGAGAATGTTCGCGAAAAGGTTCTTGGCTTTATCAAAGAAAAGGTGATATTTTTTTAATTTCCCATATCCCAAGTATCTGATATTATGAATTTTTTTTTTTAAATGTTCTTCAAAACTGAATGAGACATCAAATTTATGTACCAGGTATTTCCTCTCAAGGCTGAGTTGTTAAAACCACAGGAAGAAATGGAGAGGCATATAGTTAACTTGGTGAAACAGGTATTCAACATTTATTAGTCCCATTTGGAGTATTCCCCAAATTTTAGTTATTTTCATCAAGGAAATTGATTGTGTTTCCTGTAGGTGTTGTAAACTTGACTGGATATTTATGTTGACCTTGAAACTATGTTATTTCTTTGCAGAACTTGCAAGATGTGACAGCAGATGAGTTTAAAATGTTCGTGGGCTTTTTGAAGAGCTTGAGCTTATTTGGACAGAATGCTTCGGCTGAACATGTTCAAGAATTGGTTGAGATCATCGAGGGTCAGGCTGATCTAGATGCTATATTTGATGTAAGTGCTTATTTTTAGTTTTGAATTGATTGTTTCAGGTCCATGCTCTATTATCTTTTGTTTTTGCATTATGTAATTTTGGATGTGGTCTATCTTTCATGTGGTTTCATGAGTTTATATTGCAATAATTTTTGCTTAAAGTTGTGCTGTTCTTTTAGTTTTTTTTTTTAATTCCATTAATTATCTATTTTTGAAGTTTCTACTTTTTTAATGCAAAAGATATCTACTTTGCTGCAAGTATAAATTAAAGGTAATTGTTTGTATTGGTACTGAAGCTATAAATTTGATATGTCATGGCCTCACACGCATGTTTGATTTTTTTACCCTTGGGATTTTGCTTTCATTTTGATTGTCTGACGATCACACTACTTAATGTCCTCTTTCATATTCACCCCTTTGAGTGAAATATGTCTTATTTGTGTTTGTAAGCTTTTGCCTTGAATTTTATTTAGGTCTAAATCTGACATGTTTCTTCCTTTTGTCCTCGCTACTCTCTCTATCTCTCAGGGCTCAGATGTTGA